CCAGAACTCGGTGCAGCACCAATGCCAGGGGGTATAAAATCTTGCTTCTAGAGAAGATTCTGCAGAAGTCGTTCTTTGGGGTCGGGCCCTGTAGTTCGAAGACATTCCAGATGCCGTTTACCCCGATGAGCACCAAGTCTCTGGCGCCGTCATAGTCCTCGTCCAAAAATTCGACCAACACATTCAAACCACCGGCGGACACAAACATTTGAAGGGTCAGGGTACTGGTTTGGTACATTTGTCGCACGAAAGCAGCTGCTTCAAGTCTAATTTCGTCGGAATATTGGCGAGCTGCAAATTTCGTAATGATGGGTATACCACCTACGAAGCAAAGGTTTTCTTGAATTTCTACGTCGTCGAGAATAATCTGCAAATAGTTAGCATTGCATCACGGGGGAAAGCTGCGAGCATCAACCTACCGCATTGACGACTTTGAGTAGCTGCAGTATCATGTACTGCCTGCTCTTGACGGTGCACGGCTCGAGAATCTCCAGAATCGGTAGTAATCCGTGCGCGCTGATGATCAAGTTCTTCACTTCTTTGTTTTCCCACAATAAGCCCAGCTGGTCAATAGTTAGCGATTGCCCGATGGCGAAATAAAAAGTATTTAGTGCAATGTTGGCATACCAAGTCTTCAGACACCTCGGACAGGGTATCGTTGGCCTCAGTCGTCTTGAGTGAACTGACAAGGTCTTCAACCTTTTCTGCCAGACGAGCGTGCCTGTCTCTTGCAATGTTTGCTTCGAGGTCCATCTCATCCCAACCAGGGTCCATGGAAGCAAATGGGTCATATTCTTCTTCGTCGTCTCCAAGCCAGGAGTTGCTCGACATCTTTGACAATAGCATCAGACCACCATCCTCAGAGCCACGCTCGCTTTCCTCCTTGTCAGCTATGGAGTCACTGGCGCCAAACACATCCGAAAAGTCCTCGTCATCGTCCTCGGCGAATTTTTGTATCTCTATAGATGAGCGAGTGCGACGCATGGGCCGGTCAGGGAGTACAGACGGCCGGGAAGGCGGCCTCTTCCTGATACTACCGTCGGGAGCCTGCATGGAACGGGGAAGGGTCGTCAAGTCCGATGGATGGAAGAGTTGCGGTGCATCGGTGGCGCGAGATCCCTGGTTTACAAGGTTTAGTCATAAATGGGCAAAAAAAAAACCCCTCTTGAAATAGAGAACTCACCCTTCTGACTGCTCTGTTGACTCTGTAATTAAAGGCTTCATCATTGTCCACAAACAAGTCAGAGAAATCCTCCACACTCTGTTCTCGAAATACCACGTCTGGGCGAGGAGGCAGCTCAAATTTGCTGCCAAAGTGGCCCTTTGATGGGGACCTGGGCACAGAGGACCCAGGCACTTGTGCAATTGCCTTTCCCAGAGACTTGGTGCGTTGGTGGGACTTGGCATTTGTACTCGGGACTGCCGTCTTATGTATTGGTCGAAGAGTCTGTTCCTGAACTTCGTCACGTTGGTGGGCCGGGCCTTTGATAGTTAGCAACTCGCCCTCAAAATCATCGTCGTAGTTGTCAGTATCTATTCTCAAGTCATTTGTAGATGCAAATGCTTTGAGCTTGTCGCTTGACAGTAGACCCCCAAAATTGTCTTGTGGTTTCAGGTGAGGAAGATGCAATGCGCTTGGTGAGATGGCAGTGACAAAATCATCATCCCAATTATCGCTATCTGCTACAAGGTTAGCCTAGCCCAAGGCATCGAACGCTGAGGGTTCGATATATACTGTATAGCTTATTGGGAAAATTTTATGCCCGTCGGGATTGTATGAATAACAAAACGTACCTGCCTGCTCCGCAGTTTTAAAAGCCTCAACCCCAAGCCTGGGTTTAGCAAGTCCCATTGAGCCTTTGCCAGGGGTCCCACCGATGAACCGGGACGATATCCCAGTGGTATCGGACCCTGTAGACGACCGGAGTGCAGGTTCGGAGGAATTCAGGGCCTTGTTCCACTGCTTTACTTCTTCGACAGCCTGGTTGAAGTTGTCTGGCGCTTTGGATACTGGCGCTTCAGCTCGGCGGCAGCCAACAATCCATGCATGCCTCAGCAGCTTGCGAGCTGACACACGCAGGTTTGGGTCTTTTTGGAAACATTGCATGAGAAAATCTCTCGCAGCCTGAGCCGTGTGAGTAAAAAAAAAAAAAAAGGCCGGGGACGGGTGGGGGCCAGGTGGGATACATACAGGAGAGATACCCTCGGGCAGGGGAGGATGGTCGTCGTTGACGATTGCGAAGAGCGCTGGCATGGCTGCCAGATTGTGATAGGGCGGTTTCCCCTGCAACAGCTCGATGACGGTACATCCAACGCTCCAAATGTCAGAGGCGGAACTGGCGCCAGAGAGTTGAATAATTTCTGGCGCCATCCAGTATGGCGTGCCAACAACCTGAGCCTCCTTATCCTGACCTCCTGCTAGTGTGCTGGTAGAAACGCCAAAATCCGCCAATTTGACGGTGCCATCCTTGGTGGTGAGAATGTTGGCACCTTTGATATCTCGATGGATGACACCCTGATCGTGGAGGTATTGAAGGCCTAGAAGAACCTGGGTCATGTAGACGCCGACAAGATTTTCGGGAAATTTGCCATAGGCTTTGAGTATCGAGTGTAATGAGCCATTTTCGCAGTATCTAGCTACCTGTAAGCTTCACGCATCGTCGTCGTGAACCACCTCCAAGAACAGAAAACCGTACTCTAATATGATGTTGAGGCAATCGGTTGCCTTTACGAAGCCGATATATTTAACAATATTGTCATGCTACCCACATGTTAGACAGGTTCGGCCATGGCAAAGATTTGGGTTGGTGGTACTTACAAGAAGATTCTTGAGCAAGTCGATTTCGCTCTAATTCCCTCGTGATGTGAGCATTTATCTCTGTCTCGTAGCTAACGTAGCGGCACAGAAGGCTGGACGCACCTCAATCATCCGTAACTCGCTCTTTGGCAAATCCACGAGCTTAATCTGCTTGACAGCAACAGCTTCGCCAGTACTCCAGTTGAAGGCCTTGTAAACGGAGCCAAACGCGCCTTTACCAATACATTCACCTAACGTCTATGACATGGTCAGCCCCGAGCTTGAACTGAAAATGCTTCCCAGAACCACGCCCCTGACAAGTTTTTCTTTTCAATAATAATAAATAGAGGCAATGCCTACAACGGGTTAACGCACATAGTCTTTCAGTCCGGGATCCTGTACCGCCGAGCTCTCTCGCTGCCGTTCCTTTCGGGATGGGGTGCCAGGCACGCCGGATCTTTCTCTGGTGGCCACAATGGCAGCGTGACCAGCATGGCGGCCATTGCCATTGTTGGCGTGGTACTGCCGCTCGGGCGGCATAACTCTGAGTGGTGGTTATCTCACCGCCCCAGTGTGTGTGCCGCCGGCGTCAATCTATGGTGTCTTGCACAATATCTGTTGTGGCCAGGCTGAGGTAAAGGCGACGTCGGGATATTGAGACGGTCGTGCTTTGGAGAGAGCGCGGTTGTCGCATGCTAGATCATGGGAGAAACAGGTCGGATTGGCATTTGGAGCGGTACCGGGGCGAGGCTATATGATCATCTATCTTCCTTTCACTTTGGCCGTGAACCGGCGGCGATGGGTCGTTTGCTGCGCGTATCGACTCGGTGTGAAGCGAGGAAGGGAACAGCTGCTGGATGTCGGGCAGTAGCAGCAACACGGAATGAGTAGACGGCGAAGTGTGTTTCTTTTCTTTTCTTTATATCGTTACAGATGCGCCTTGGTAGTGATTGACTCGCAGAACAAAGCCGACGAGGCGGTCAAGAAGATGTCGTCGAAAGGTGCGGTTCGGGATGGCAGACTGAAGGCTGACGAGCGAGGGGGGGGGAGGGCTGGTTCGGACGGGACTGTTGTTGTTTGTTAGTGAAACTGTCGAGGGCTGAAGTAGCTCTGGACGGAGGGGTCAAGGGTGAGAGAGCACTCGAGAGCTGGGCGGACGAGTGGGACGGGATGACAGCACGAGGCACCCTGGCACCGCACGCACGGCGGTCTGGCTAGTATTTACATATCAACTGGCAAATGGAATGGAGCAAGGCTGGTCTTACAGGCAAAGCGTCTGGCGCACGTAAAAAAAAAAAAAAAGACAATTCGGCCTTGGGGATTCAATGTGGATGGGGTCGGAGAATGGATGGATGGATCATCAATTGATGGAGGGAGGGGAGCGGACTGGAGGGTCAAGTGGTGACCGGTCTGGTGCCTGACGCCCTGATGTCCCGACTTACTGCCTAGTGCTGGGTCCACCGCTGGTGTGGTGCTTCCGGATGCCAGTGCACAGCGCCCGAAGGCTCACGGGCCGGTTTCCAGCTCCAGTCTGCTTGCGTCTGGTTGACAATGCGGGCGAGGTCCAGTGGCTCCAGTGGCTCCAGTGGCGTCTCGTGCCCACACACGATGCAATTTAATTGATCTGGGGCTTCCATGTCCCATGTCAACATTCCATGTTGCATGGTCCAATTGCCTGTTGCCCAGCAAGACAAGATTGGCTCATCAGCTTTTCCTCTTCCTTGCAGCCCAAGCCTCCAAGCCTTCAGCCATTGCCGGATCAAGCGCCATGTCATGCGAGAGACTACGTATGTACTAGTTGCAACGGCCAAAACGAATTGACGGCAACGGTGTGGGCGCGCATGCAAGGCATGCAAGACCATGCAATGGCCAAGTGGTGCTGGTATTTGATCAATCATGATTAGTCGGTACCTTGCAGCCAGACACATCAACGCCCCCCACCCGATATCCATCCGTCAACTTGGAGAAAAGCAACCTCGTTTGCCGACTGCCGCACCATGTCTCCTTCGAGGCCAGCCCTGTTTCGGTTTGTCCTGGGCGTCGTCGGGCGTGCTTTTGCAGATGCCATATTCCATCCATCTTTACTACGGAGTACTCCGTCCTCGGTCCATCCTCTAGTCAGGTTCCACACACGCATTATTCAGGATATGTTTGTTTATAGGACCAAGTTAGTCAAGAAATGAGTTGGGCTAACATGAACACTCTAAGCAGGCTTCCACTCGTAGTCATGTGCGCCTTTTGCTACCGGCCCAGGGTCTTCGCCTGGCACACCAGGCTTGTCATATGAGTGAGCCCCGAAATAATCCATCTGAGCTTCCACAAATCTCGTCGGCAGCATCGTCCCGCCGCTGCACTTCATATACTCGAGCGTTGCGGAGAGGGCAGGTATGTAGTCGTCGTACGCAAGCCCCCGAGAGACGATATCCTTGAGTACGCCATAGTTGCGCTGCAGTTCCCGCCCGACGCGGCTGTCGAGTTTGGCATTTGTAGGCGTCTTGTTCATGTTGAGGAACGGCTCCAGCATGTCGGCGATGAACTCTGACTGTATAATGCACCCCGCGCGCCAGATTCGAATGCATCCGGACAGACGGATATTCCAGCCTTCATCAATCGATGCCCGCGCAATCAGCTCCAGCCCCTGGCAGTACGACGCGAAAAAAGGCGCAATATACGGCCCTGCGAAGGTCTTGGACCATCTTGTCCTTGTCCATCATGTCTTGAAAGGACCTTGGCGGGGGCATGGCGACGCTCTGGGCGACCTTGAGCCGTTCTTGGCGATTCCCCGAAGCAGTGCGGAAAAAAAGTCCTGCGGCGAGTGTCGGGCACGATATGTGCCTCGAGGCGGATTCTGCGATTGACCATGATTGGCGTTCCCTCCGAAGCATCGCCGTCTTGCACGACCTTGTCGAGCACGTCGTCGAGGACGTAGCCGCCGTCATGTTTTCTTGCCTTGCAAGCATCTGCGGCAATCTTGACAAGAAAAGTGCCATGCAGTTCCCCTTCATTGTTCCACTGCTGGAATGCTTGTCCAATCTGATGGTAGTCGAGCCCCATGCCGGTGTTGAGGAAACTCCAGGCCTCGCAGAGGGCAGAAAGCATGCCGACCTCGATGCCGTTGTGCACCATCTTTACAAAATGACCAGAGCCGCCCGGTCCAATGCTCGATACGCACGGCACGCCTGATTTGGGGTCTTTGGCCGCATAGAGTTCCAGCAGCGGCATGACTTCCTCCAACGCAGTATTATCTCCTCCTGGCGAGAGGCTTGGCCCGTGGCGCGCCGACTGATAGCCGCCCGAAATTCCCATCCCGATCCAGTCCACGCCAATGTCTCTGCATTCCTTTTGCCTCCTCTTCGTATTTCGATAGTGCTCATTGCCGCCGTCCATAATGATGTCACCCTCGTTCAGCTCAGGCCTGAGTTTGCTCAAGGCTTGATCCGTCGGGTCGCCGTGCGTGATGGAAATGATAAAGACCTTTGGGTCGTCGCGCTCTCCCAAGTTTGCGGCGAACTCTGACATGTCGTAAAAGCCGGTGATCTTGCCTTTGAATCCCTTGCACTGGCTGACCTGCTTCATGAAGCCATAAATGTTGGCACTCTTGACATCCCAAATCGAGACGTCACGGCCAAGTTCGGAAAAGGCGAATCCCATCATGGACCCCATGTTCCCTGCGCCAACAATGCCGATTTTCTTGAATTTCATGGCTACATCTGCTTGAGCGTCCATGGCCACTGTTGGTTTGTTGTTAGATATAGGAAAGTGGCGGTAGCTAAATTTCAGTCATGGGAAATCTCTCAACACGCGTGGATCTGCACGTTTATGTATACAAAAACGTTGGAGTTTCCCAACAGCCGACAAATTCATACGCCCCGTGTTGCCAATTCGGAAGCTCAGGCAGTCGTTGCCATGTATCGCCAGATTCCATGACGCGATTGTCGCGTACGGAACCGCATGCATCATCATGACGTTGTGGTGTCGTAAGGACTAGCCGTATGTTATTACCTCTTTTTCCCGTCCCATTATAAAACAATGCTAGAGACAAGTTGAATCCAGTATAGACTCTTTCAGGGAAAACATGCTAATTTGTCGTCATGGGTATCGAGTATCAAGGCTGTAACATTTCTACCTCCTTTGCATCGTGCAGTATCCCGCCATACTTCAATGCGACACTGCCCCAAAAGCTGGAAGCAATTCGCAGCGCTGGATGCGACGGGATAGAGATATCTATGCCGGATATACTGACGTACGGTGGCGACAGCGAAGGAAGGACCATTGACGAGAACGACCATGGACCAGTTTGATAAGAAGACAACTGACTTCTTTACTTGCAGGTAGGCTCAACCGACGCAGAAGATGCGTCGCCATGTCTGGACCAGCACGCCGAGGACTTGCGCGAGCCGGCCGACATGCTGGGGGAAAAGGGGTTTCGCCTCGCCTACGAAAACTGGTGCTGGGCCACGTATGCCGCGGGATGGAAAGATGTGTGGGAGATATCCCAGAGAGCTGGCCGCCCGAATATCGGCATTTGCCTGGATACCTTTCAATCTGCGGGCGGAGAGTACGGAGACATGCCGTCCCCAGCGACAAGATATATCTGCTACAGTTCTCAGATGCGTATAAGATGGAGCCACCACTTCGCGAAACGTCAGCGCGGTCGAGGTCGGTATGGAGTCGTAGTTTTCGGCCGCTGCCCTCATGTCGGTGGAGGACTACACCAAGGCTGCGATGCAGTCGTTGACTCGGCTGCTGGCTTCCACTATCAAGCGAGTGAACCTGGTAAATAGAGGACTATATACAGAACCCTGAATTTGAAATCTATCTGCGACGGAGCTGATTTTGAAAAATGAAATGAGCTTTGTGTTGACGAGGCTCGGATACCACCCACACTGTGCTTTACGTCAAGACACGAGTTGAAACTGCCAAATATTCCTAAGTCCTATTAGTTTGTATCTTCTGGCACAAGATTCCCTGAGCCTCTCTCACCGCCGTCTTGTGAAGCAATGAACCGGGAACTGTGTAAAATCGTACGCGCGTCACCAAGAATCAACGTCTCGCCATCGCTCTCGTCCGCACTCATATTGTTGCGATGCCGCATATATATCAGATATAGATGTTAGAAATTTCAAGGCGTCAGACGCTTCCAACAAGCACGGAAGTATCAGACGAAACGGCCAGGCCAGCCATCAGTGTGCACAAATCCAAGTTCCGCAGCCGTCTCGTGAACTGGCCACAGACAGACACGCGCAAACGGTCCATGCCCGCCGCCCAACCGCATACATACAACAACACCAGGCCAGCTCGTCGCTATCGCACGAGCCACACGATTACCCAGACATTCCCACGCGGAGCGCAAACTCGTCAACTTGATCCGGGCTCAGAGAGCGGCCTCCCCTCCCCCCGCACCATCACGACCGCAGCTCTACTCAACATCCCCCCGACACAAGCCCTGAACACGCCGCACACAAGTTACACGTCCACCGCTGCCGGCCTTGGCACGCTCATCATGTGCGTGGACGCCGCTGCAGGCAGCGATGCGGCTGGGTCAGTCGTGCGACCCGTCGGCCGTTTCGCCCCTGAACTCCCGTGTAACTATCGCGGCTGCATGAAAATGGCAACCCGCACGCCCTCTCCGAGTCGAATAGCGAAGCGCGTAGCGCGCTTGGCACAGTCTCTGCGCCATTGAATCGCCAACAGCGAAGGGATATGTCATTTCCAGCGGCCGCCATGGCCATGGAAGGCCCAGCAGTCCGCGCGGACGGACGGGGCGAGGGCATCGCGAGGGCAGACAGCGCCAGAACAGGTGCCGCGGCGCATAAAGATGGGGGAACTCGGGGCGTCGGCGAGCCATGGCTTCCATTTTGGCATCGCGAGCGTCCAATCGTCGGGCTTCACGAATCCACGATGTCATGCCGACGTGGCATGCCAATAAACCTGCGAGCCTCGAGGCTTCGACCAACGCTGGAAGCATGGAACCCTGAACACGATACTTGGCCTCGTCTTGAACACCATGGCATTTGGTATCAAAGCTTCTTGCTTGGGAGGGGAGAAACGACTATAAAGATGGTTGGAGGACGGCCGGGTTCGATCACAGCCAGAAGACGAACCCGGCTAGGGTCAACCGGAATGTTCTTCGGCGAGCCATCGCCAGGGAACTGACCGGTGCTAGTGTCGAAGCCGGGGTGTCGACGCAAGGCTACGACATGTGGTCCGTCATGGACGAGCCCACGCTAGATGAGAGGCCGGATTTCTGTAAGTACGCCCTGCAGAAAGAAAGATACACGCCACTGTCGGAAGTATACGGAATATTGCATGATGTCGTAGTCGTGCGGTATACTCTATCTGAGTATACTCCGGGATATTGGACTATGCCGCAGTCCACTCTACAGTGTGTGGTATACCATACCATATCAGAGTATATTCGGGGTATATTTTAGTATACTTGATGATACATGATTTCTTGGCATATCTCATCTCCTGTTTTGTTTCCTATTTATCCGGCTGTCTAACTTTTACTAAGACCACAACCTAGGGAGGCTTGAGCTCGTGTCCAGATGCATGACAACCAACACCGACTGGCAAGGGGAAATTACGAAAGTGTTCCAAACCCTTCAGAGGATCGGGGAGACGCAGCTGACGACAGGCTGCTCGATGCACGTGCACGTCCCCCCTTCTCGGGAAGGCAACAGTTACAAACCCGAACAGCTACACAGCATCATGAAGGCCGTCGCGTACTTTGACCGCGCCGTCACGGCCGCCGTCCCCCCCGACCGGAAAGACAACGAATGGGCGGCGTCAAATTTCCAGAAAGGAAGCTGCGCTCCTCGGTATGCGGAGCTGTATAGCAACATGTCCTCACTTACATGGGGACCCCTCTTCCAGGAGTTCGACCGGATCAGGCTCCCTGCGCTGATCCCCATCAATGTCTTCAAGAACAAGTATGTGTCCTGGAACTTTAAGCATTTGGGTTCGGAGTGCGGAACGGTCGAGTTTCGACGCCCACCGGGTGTTAAGGATGCAAGAAGTGCCCTGTACTGGGTCGCTTTCACGCTTGGATTCTTGGAGGGAGCCATGGGTCACGACTGGAGCAATATGAAGGAGGAGAAGACACATGGGGCATTCCTCGATCTTCGAATTATAATACGTGGTGGCCTGAAGAGGCTGGGACCTAGTTGTGCAGGGATCATTGATAATATGGATGATATTCGGGAAGAAAAATCTCAACCCACGCCGGCCACACGGCAAGAGAAAGAAGTCATTGCGGCGAAGAAGAGAGAAAAACTTGACAAGGAAAGCAATTTTGCGGTCAAAGTAAGTCAGAAGCCAAGACATTTCAGACCAACTGCTCTTTGGCCGCCTACTAAATTTCTTGCAGGTTAATTCCCGACCAAGCACTCCAGCATCCGCCAGTGCTTCATCTTGAAGAAATTCTGGTTCAACATAGGCCACGCTACTGTCGAGTCAAAAAGGGATAAATTTGAGGGCTATCGTCAGGGGCCTCCGACCGGGTATAAAAGGGCTGGGATCAAATTTGCGGCATTTTTCATCATTCAATCCAGACCATTCATCATCAACAACATCAATAAAGCTATCAATTGAGGCCCTAAAAAGCCTCCCAAAATACCGTTATTTTCCACTGTGTAAATTGCTGTTGTAAACTCAACAGCTACATACTAGCTTGGCTAGCCATGGGCTGCCCTTCTCTTTTGTTTCATCATTTGCCTGATGCTTTCTTTGAATCGTCCAATAGAGCTAGTATATGGGAGGACCTTTGTGCGATGGTGAGATCATACCCTTCCAGTCTGGCTCACCTCTCATGAAACGTACGGACTTTTCCACAACAAAATCAGGAAGTAAGAACTCCTCGCAGCGAAAGGCTGAGTCAAAATCAACAACGTTTTCCGGTTCCGTATAAGAGGCAAGATAGCTGAATGCGAATAGTACCAGCAAGGTCGTCTGGCCAAGGAGTTGGCGCATGGGCTCCCGCAGATTTCGAGTTAGAAAAGTCTGGGGGAGCTCCCACATGACTCGGAAATCAGCTAATTCGGACTTGTGGTGCCCAGTGTGATACTGGACCATATCGTAAAGCTGGCCCATTTGGACCCCCCCCGGCGTCACAGCCGGGATGAATGCTTCCCCAATACGCTCGTTGGGTAGTTGAAGTTCCTGGGTCAGTTCTTGCGTCAAGTAGCCAATACCTGGGGGCGCTGGTTGCGATACCACCATGCGTCTCCAGCTAGCTCCCCTGGTTGTGAAGCGAGCTCTACGTGTTTCGCCCAGTTGAGAAGATGCCTCGTCCAGCTGTTTGGGTGGTCCCACCTGCAGCAATGGAGTACAGTTGCGACGATTCCATGTAATCAATTCGCGACGATTTGGACTCCATGGCAACATGTAAAAGCAGTCAGCCCCTCTATGGTAGCCAAATGCAGGGCCAGTGTCGAAGAAGCAGAAGCCAAACTTCTTGACAAGAAGAGGATTGAGGACCAACTTGGTGAGCTCGGGCCCGAGATACTCATAGTCCGAGCCCGCCATTTCGGCCTCTCCCATGAGCTGTTCACGAAATACAGGTAGCTGTTCACGAAATACAGGTAGCTGTTCAGCAATGATGGACCGAAAGAACAGCTTTTGTTGCAAGGCGGGCGAGCAAGCAATGGTCTTGTTCCAGGCTTTGCTAACTCGCTGGACGGAGACGAGCAGCGTCGTCATGTCGAGGTGGAGGAGGATGTTCTCCAAAAGCTCTGGGAGGGAGAGCACCCGCTCCATGGTTCACGGCAAGGCACGCGCGGATGCAAGAGAAGTGAGAATCGATAGAGGCAAGTTGGGGAGAGAAAGGCAGAACGAGAGATGAAGCGGAAGGCCTTGATCCCAACAGACTTGACGTTTGATGATGCCCAAGTTGCGAACTTGCGCGCCCCCCGGGGGGGGGGGGGGGACCCACACGCCAGTGCACGTACCAAAGGAACGTTGAACGCACTTGGCTTTTCAATATCAAATTATACATGCACCGACTGGCTTGGCACAATGTTGACATGTCCCGGTAGATACATATGCACCTAGTAGGTAAGTGGAATGCAACATTGATGAACCGCAAAAGAAGATTGAAAAAACAAAGAGACCGTCGACCCTAATACAGCACTCCTTCGGCGCAATGTCCACACCACCCGCAATCCTTATCACACAGAGAATGATCATCACCAACATCAGAATACCACTGTCCGGAACCAGAATACACTCCATAGCTCCGATGAGAAGCGCTTCCATTCCCCTTCCCCTTCCCCTTCCCCGTCCCCTTCTTCTTCTTCTCCTTGGCCTGCCCTTCCTTCACAAACGTCACGGGCCGGCATCTCAGCCCGTCATCCGGCTCCAACATCGGCGCGAGACTCTTCACCATCGGCTTGTATTCCCAATTAGCCCAATCCCCAAGTTCCCCGGTCTCTAACACTCACATCGTGACTTGCCGTTGGGCCGCAGAGCTCCCCGTGGCCCCAGGCCTCGAGCCCGTTTGCGCCAGCAACCATCCCGCCGCAGGGGCATCCGGCACCCGCACTCCGCGGAATGCTCGAGTCGGAATATCCAGTCGAGCTAAGGGGCTGCGTGCTCGAGCACGGCTTGGCGTCGCCGGCCACGCCCGGCACCTTGTGGTTTGGAGAATCGCGAACGTGCTGCTCCAGCGCGTGGGCGTCTCGAAAAACTCTCCCGCAGCACAGGAAGTGTTTCATCTGCTCTGACATTCTCTCTCTCTCTCTCTCTCTCCCAGCCAGGATCCTGTTTCAATAACTCAGGAAATACAAAGCTCTTGGTTATTTTCCAGGTAGTTGATGATGGGCTGCCGTAAGAGCAGGCGCAGTCTCCATGAATGGCGTCTTTTTATTTGAATTTTGAATTATTTTTATTTAATTTTTCGCCGGGGAAAAAAAGGAAAAGAAACGTGTCTCTCCAGCTACAGAAACTTTTTCATACCTGTCATCAAGTTAGGCATCAAAACTGCGGAGGGGGTGTGATTGAACCCAAGGCTGGATGGTTACACACGGTTCTTACTTGCGGTGCCGGACGCACTGCGCGGCCTGCTGTGCTGATACCAGGAACACCAGACGTCGCTGAGCTCCAAATGCAAGGGAAACAGTTTCCAGGCATATACTCCATAATTACAGTCTGCTTGGGCGGAAAAACATCTGGAAAATCGCAGAAGAGCCAGTCGCCCGAGTTCGCTAATGGACATCAACTACCCTACTGACTCCAACGCCGTTTTGGCCGTTTCTGGTCATAGGGCCGAAACATCAACTGGTGCTGCTTCATCTACTGTGCAACACTTGGACAAAGGAGACCAATGGGCCAATGGCATCACGACAAACATTGACGCAGATCGGAGCTCCGCATTCCAACTCGCCTTGTTCCGTACACCCGTCATCCCATATATGCTGCTGGATATAACCAGGGCACCTTCAAGAGACTGTGATCCAAGTTTTATTCCAAGCTCTGCCCGTATATTCACTCCCATTTCCGCTTTCACCAGCTATTCCGACCATTCAATGCCCCCTTTTTCTATCCCGCCGCTATTATCGTGCGCTAACGGCATATATATAATACAATCATAACCTCATTCAAGACTTCCGCAATATCAGAACGTCTACCACCGATTCATTGGTCTGCATATAAACCCTTTTTTGTCTGCTGTTCATCATCAAATTGAAGCCCATGCATTGCGCCTGTAACAAAAACAGATAGATGCTTTAGATGCCCTGACGCATAGTACCGTTGCTCGTCGTACTAGATTCCTCCTGTCTGAGTGTGCGGCTGAGACCGGCATCAGCCCACCACTCATCGGGGATGTCTTCTCTCCGGGCAAGGCTTCGCACAATGCGTTGCATGCCCGCCCAGTCGTCTTCCGAGGCCATTGCATTGGATTGTGTAGGGAACGTAGCGTCTTCTGGGTTCTGACTGGGCCCGTCGGCGTCGCCGTCTTCTTGACCTAAAGCCCCGACTGAGAGCTGGCCGACCCAGACGCCTGGCGAGTTGTTAGTGGAGGGTCGAGACAGGCGAGTCGGCTCGATTGCTTGACCCAGTCGCCCGGAAGACTCGTATATGGTAAGGGGCCCGTTTGCCGTGTTGATTTGTCTAGTTGTGCGGCTGCCAGGTGTGGGATGCCCCGTGGTTTCCATCCTAGGGTCTCCCGAGGTCAAGGCAAGTCGGTTTGCCCGCACTAATTCCAAATTCCTTCTGTCTTGTCGAGTTCGCCGGATACGCGCGAAATCAGGATGTTCATAATCCGCATCATCCATGTCCAAGTCTGAGTTTTCGCATCCCGATTCGCAGGGGGCATCCAGAAGTGCTTCCTCCATAATATCCGGAGCCGAGGTAGGTGTGCCTGATGACGGTCCGGCGGTTTGGGAAGCTGCCACGGATGCAAAGGACGAGCCTGCGCTTGGTGGTTGTGGATCTGGGGTCAGCGTGGACAAAAGTGTATCCCATCCTTCCGGGCTCAGGCTTCTCTCTCGGTCACCAAGGCCATCCATACCCAAGGCACCGCGTCGACTAGGCATCATCTGACGGGCATTCAGGCTGCGAACTAAATAAGGGTCAAGTGGTGACAAATCGCCGCTGCGAGTAGCGGTTATATCCTGCTGTTGGCGAGGGTGTGCTCTGCGGGGCGGAAGAAGCAGAGGGCCGTCTGCAATCCGGTTCGTCTGGGATTGAGGGGCGTGCTGCGGGCGCATCAGTGAATAATTCACTTGCCAACATAAGTAGACTACCTAAGTAGGTACATACTTATGTAGCTGTAAAGGAAACGACCTACCACTCTTGACCGTCTCACATGGGCCAAACGAGAGCCATCTCCGGCTGACCACCACCCGAGATCAACCCCTTCAGACATATTTTCGTGTTCCGGAGGCGCTGACCCTGAAGTAGAGTTGAATAGCGCACTCATGCGCTCTTCGAGGCGCTCCCTGCGACGTTCATCACTCCCACTCATCTCTCGAAGCACCTCACGAAAGATACCTGATCGACGGTCTGCTGCAGCGGCGTCGGTTGGATCTTGGGTTCTGGATGCCGACGATTCAACCCATGGAAGCAATCGTTCACGCGCATTGCGTGGCACGTTTCGCTGCGCGGAATTGTAAATTCGCACACCCGCACGTCTTATGCCGCTGCGACGATCGCGGATCTCCGATCGGCTTGGGCGTCGCGAGGAGGAGCGCGGAGGCGAGGTGGCACCCGTCTTAATGGAAGTCTTGTTGGGCAAGTCTGATTCGACTGGTTCCACAAAGAGGCTATTGAGGTCCAGGCATCAGTTACGGCTCTGAATGGTACAAGGAACTAGACAGGGTTGAATGGGAAGAGCAACAGGAGACTGGAGCAAGGAACAATGCAGTTCCGCGGTTGACGGTACATCTGACACGCGTTGGGCACAATACGTTACAAAGT